TTGCAATTTCAGAATCGCTCAAGTTGTTACTGTTTTTGCGGTCGATTTTCCATTAAATCGAATCTCTACGGCTCTCGAATTGGCTTTGCGGTTATGTCGGCGGCTGCTGGATTCTGGACATAAGACAGAACGAGAGAGATAGAGAGACAGGGAGAAAGAGAGAGAGAGAGAGAGAGAAAGAAAAAGAGAAAGAGAGAGAGAGAGAAAAAGAGAAAGAGAGAGAGAGAGAGAGAGAACATGTAATGGCCTTGGTCTTGTGGCTTTCAGCGTCAACTCTGTTTCAGATAGTAAGTAGCAACCGCACTTCAATGTATATATTTTTTCAGCAAAGAACATTTTGGTGATGGGAAATTAAATGTAATTTAAAATAAAAAAAATGGTTTAAAGATCCTTCAATAGGTTGGGATAGATAAGACTGTCGACTGTGGGCCTCAATTTGCTTGTTGCTAGTTTATGAATTTGGCAATTCTAGTTGGTTTCATTTTTGTTAGCTGTTAAAGAACGATTAGAAAGAGCCTTAGTCTCTTCCGGGTAGAAGCAGAAGCAGAATTCAGGGGATCTATTTTCATAATTTTCTTCTTTTCAGCTTCGTCGGAAATAATTATAGGGAGCTTGGCATGAGCACAGCTCTCTACTTTGTTTTGTATTTGTTTATGTATTTAGGCATAGCATTAATATAGCATTAGCATACACTGTTTAACATAGGGATCGATAACACCTGTAACAAAAATAAGCTTACCATGAAAGTGCAATAAACTCATTCTTTTAGTAGAGACCGAACTGACAGACGACTGCTGTTTGAAGGGGGTGGCCAGATAAGGAAATATATACTCTTAAACATTTATTTACTTTTATTCTATAATTTGTTCTTTTGTTATTTTAAATAGTCTTCAATTTGCTTCAATAAAATTGTCAGATTTTATGTTGTGATAACTCTTTCATTCTAATGAAACTAATTATGCTAGTATATCTATTTTCCCACAACACTTTGAAGTGTAGCAAATCCGTAATCAACGCTCACTTCTCCAACCCTGCTAGTTGAGGGAGAGATGCTCGCAGTTGTTTGGTTTTAACTCTATTCTGTGGTTTAGGCCGTGTGTGCAACGGTGTGCAAAAATATTCAATGAGCAGCCAAACAAACTGAATATAGATGTGTGTAGCTAAAACACTCTGGATTTCTGTTCAAACCTGATTTGCATTCATTGAAACCCTCTTGAATACAATTGAAAACACAAATTGGTTTTGCTTTTAGATCGCTTATGCGGCAGGGTATTATAATTGTGTAAGCGAGATGCTTCCGAATCGTCTGTCGGTCTGTTACTATCCAAATGAAACTAGAAATATATATTTCGTTAAGAGCCCAATCACGAAATTAATGCCATAACCACAATTAATGTCTGTTTAACACATTCGAAATATGAGTTTAGATTCAGCCTTTGTTTGCCTGATTACGAATTCGTAAACTTTCTTTTTTATTGAGAAAAAAACGTTATACTTAAGGTAATTGCTTATGCAACACGCGAAATGATAGATTTGTGCCCCTCATATATTTATCAAAATGCAAAGCAGTCCAAAAAGCAAAATCAACAACAAGAACAACTGAAGGTAACTGAAAAGGGGCCACAGGGTCGGGATTTGAGTTTCTCTTTGGCATAAGGCAGCGTCTATACATATATATATATACGAGTCAACCCTGTTTGTCGACCCTGTTCGGGGCACGGACAAGGTTCGTGGCAATAGGCAATACGCGTGCTGAATGCAAACAATGCGTTCGCTGCTAAATTATAAAGAATGGCGTCATATGTCGCATAAGGTGGGGATGGGACACACACAGAAAACACACAGAAGACACACAACACTCGTGAACTATAGATGAGAAGCGACTTCTCCGTGCCTCCTTGTGGGACGCTAAAAAGTAGGCTATGAATTGTTGAATCTGCGATGATTTCACTGATCTAACAAGCAATTGCAGCAATGAGAGATAGGTAACAACTGTAACTAACATAAGCTTAACATACTCGACTAACATAAGGTTAACATAGGTGAGCAAATAAACCAATTATTTCTGTGGAAACAGAACTATGCAGTCCCGTATTTGAAGATGTTGGGGAGATGAGTAAGGAAATACCTTAAAACAAAATCATAGTGTTTTCAGCAAATAACTCTTATTGACGTTGACAATCTTTTTGCTGCTTTAATATTATAAACTGAACCAATTGAACATGAATGCAAGAATGGTTTAATAGTTTTATGCAAATGCATGTATCAGACAGAAGGAGGCATCTCAACCGAACCCATAAGGTATATATATTCTTGATCAGCAATAACAGCTGATTCGATATTTCCATGTCTGAGAGACTATAAGAGCAAGAGACTTTAAGATGAGACTTTAAGGCAGATGATTCTTATTGAAATATAATATACATTGACATATTATTGATGATGCCTTAGTTTTTTTTCAAGTAACATTTCAAAGGAAATATATTTAATAGCTGGATGCAGGTTATGTCGTAGTCGAGCCCATTCGACCAACAGAATTCTCACTTATTTTATGCATTTTATGAGCCTTATAATTAAAATATTCTGTTTAACATAATATTGTTTTTTAGACTTGTCTTCACACAATCATCGGCTGGCCTCCAGGATTTTGTTAAGATTACCTCAGCACACACACAGACAGAGAGAGAGGGAAGCAACTAAGTGAAGCTTGTGTTTGCTTGTCGCACGTTTATGAACTTATTTGTATAGGCATGGAATGACATTTTAATGCCTCGTTATATTTTCATTAATGTCATTGTTGTTGTTCTTATTATTGCTGTTGTTATTGTTGTCATCTTGGCATTATCCATTGCTTTCACATTGGGCGCGTTAGGCGCTGCAAGTGAATGGCGGCGAGCGCTTTATAGTAACATGTAAAATCCATTTATTTTGACATAAAGCACATAAATCTATATTTGATCCATTTCATTCTTTAGCTGAATACACACACACACCCTCACACATAAATAAAGGTGTAAAGTCATTTCCGTGGCTTCAGGATAGCTCCCGCCGTTTTCTACACGAACGCGTACGAGTGCTCGTAATACCCTGTAAACATGATTCTTTATCATAAAATCAGTTAAGAACATGAGAAAAAAATGGTTTGCATTTGAAAGCGCTTCTTTTATTTTTTGTATTTTTATTTTATTTATTTTTCAATGCGATCTTAATTTTAAATCAACATTCTCAACTTTGTGATGCTTAATGGAATATTTGCCAAAGATTAATGTTAACTGGGCAATTACATCGGTTTGCATTTATAATTTTTAGAAAACCATTTATTGAAAATATAACAAATTTGCAATTTATGGAAAGAGTTTGAAATGTTCAGAAATTGTTTATTGCCATATTTCAGTTCGATTTTAATTTTAAAAGAATATTCGCAATTTTGGTAAGATTTATTTGTCAGAGAGAAATGCTAGCTGGAGAATTAAATCGATGCAAGGCTTGAGACGTAATAGCCGCAAGCTCCAAATTTAAATGACATTAGCAATATTTGCTGATTTGCTGCAACGGCAACAGAATTTGCTTGTCCTCCGGCTTTTGAGCTGGGGCATGCCACAACACAAGTAATTGGTAGGTTGCAACTTAGTTGCAGAAGCTAAGCATCATGGATATTCTGCTTGGCTTGTTCTTTGATGATTTATTATATGGGTTTTGTTCTATTGCTGCAGTTTCTATTTAAGCGTATAGTTTTAATGCCAGTGTGTGTGCGTGTGTGTCCATTTATATGGGTATATGTTGTAACTGTACACTTATAAAAAAAATTGCTTCAATTTGCATTTCTAAATTTTAAGGTGGATTTTTCTAAAATTTAGAAAAATATGTCTAATTTTCAGGGTGTTGCTTTCTATGTGTGTATATTAAAGAATTGTTTTATTACCTTTACAACTTTAATATAAAAGCCGATTCAGTTATTTTTTTTTAACTGTAGACTACACGCCACACAGAAATGTGTTTACACATACACGCACGCACACACACACTCGCATCAAGTACATATAATTGCAATTGCTATTGTTCATTTGCAAATACAATAATGCGCTCTCAGGAGCACAGACCAAGACATATATATATACACACACACACACACACACGCACATACACACACACACAAACAAGTGCATGTTGGCTTGTTGTGCATTTGTGTTGGTGTCAGTTGCAATAATTATGCAAAGCAAGCAGCAAAGCGTTTATTGCATTTGACATTGTTGCAAAAGTTAAACTGTCTGTGGCCACATCAACTTGTAACTTGTTCTCTATTTATGTGTACACAATGCTTGTGCAGTTCAATCCAAGTTAAATTATTACTTGAATGTGCCATTATCATCATCATCAACAACTGAAACAAGTTTGCGAATACTTTCTGTGTATGCTTGAGACAAAATCTCTTCTCCATATTAGAGAAGGATTATTATCAATATCATTGAGCAAATAACACAATATAATTTAACATACTGGGTAGAGAGATCGGTAAAAACTGTAACTAAGCTTTACGGCTCTAGATCGGTTAAACAAGTTATCGATAATGAAAAATTACATAAAAAAACAGTGTAAAACATGTCGAAATTGTTCGCAGCGGAATGTTATCTACACTGTTAACTCACTGTTAACCTGTGTGGTTTCTGTCCATAGCTCTACAGCGGGGTCAAAATAATGAATTTGATTATTAAACCATAAAGCCAAGTGAAATCTGCTAGTTTGAAACGGTAAAACTAAATTGTGTGAAAAATAGTTTAAGTTATTTTATTCATGAATATAAAATATAACTTATAAAGGACGTATAGGCCAGGAAACCAATACAATTATATATGTATGTATATATATAAATATGTTTTCATTTGTTTTAATTATTACTGCTGGAAAATGCTGTTAGCAAGCAAACATTGCCTGAATTATCAAATTTAATGCACCTCGAAACTAAAATATGAATCATAAAATAGTTAGTATATATTTCGAATTTGACAAAATTTCAAGTTATTAAATTATCTTCAGGCATGGCTTCAAAGCAACTTATTCGGCCGACAATGAACAAAAAGAGCAGTCTGCAACAACACCCAAAAAATGGGAATGGTCACAGAACTCTGATCTGCAACAATGGGCAGCGTACATTGAAGAAGCAGCAATTTTCCAATACAGTCAAACGTTGCAAACAGTTGCCCATCAATCAGCGTGTCTGGCGCAAAATAATTGTGTTGCCAAAGGCAAAGATACCGTTACCCCGCCTTTTTTGCACAGATCGAAAAACGGGACTACCCGTTGGCTACGAGCGCAGGGTATCGCGCATAATGCACTATGTGAACCCCCAATTATCGAAGAGTCCCTGTACCGAACATCTCATGGAGAAACTGCTCGCGGGCACACTAACTGACTTTCTGGAGAGCTGTTGCTGCACTTCGAGTTGCCCGCAATATCTTAATAATCAATTGCGCTCCATTTTGAAGGGCAGCAAATTCAGTCAACAAGATGAGTGCATTTATAGGGACGAATTGAGTCAGTTTCACTGTGCCTGGTAAGCAATTTGACTCTGACTTTAATTAGTTAATCCTTAATTTTTTTCTTTATTAACCTATGATGCAATTCCCTTAGCAAACGTGGATCAGTTATTCCAGAGCCACCGTCTCCCACCTATAAGAGCAAATTTAATTACAACAGCCTTATGATATATAGCCATTAACCCAAATGAACCCAAACACCGCTGGCTGGATTAGATTGTTAAGCAGCTTCATTTTATCATTAGAATTATTCATGTTAATTCATTTTTGAGTGCACTTTTTGTTTGTTATTATATTTAATATGTATTTACTATAAGCTTGTATATATGTGTATACTCCCAACTTTTTTTTGTAGTCTTACAATAAATTTTTCATATCTGTAATGTGTTCGTAATCGCATTAAGCATATGATATATAATATACCTTGACATATTATTTTTCAGTTTCACTAATTTCATCAAGATCGGATATGAAACACCCAAGTTACATTCGAATATGTGTTCTCAAATTAATCTCATTTTCACTTGTGTTTTCTTCAGGTGAAAATGCGTTGAGATTATGTTTAGTTTTCAGTCCATCATTTAGGGCTCGTGGTCAACAGGAATATGCTTCATTCACATTATTCCAAAGTGCTGTGAGGTAACTCACTCTCTCTCCCTCTTTCTCTCTCTCTCCTCTCTCATTTTGCTGGTCCTTTCCCGAACAGAGCGCCAGCTAAAAAGCCAGCTGCGACGCATTGATGTCAATGATTCTGACAAGTGCACTTGCTCTGCTTTGGCGTACTCCCAACCCTTGATTGGGAACGTTGGAGGGATGGGATGGAATGGGGATGGGGATGGGGGAATGGACGGGAGAAAGCCACTTGAGCTGAGTTGACAGGCCGTGGCAAAAGAGCGCGCATTTAACATTGTCTGAACAAGTGGCATTGTAGAGCACTCGAACGATTCCGCACTGCCAATATATCTGCCACTAACTACATTGCATAGATCGGCTCTCGATCTGGATGAGAATCGGGATGGGAATGGAGATGGGTGTGGAACTGGGTGTGGCTATGGGTGTTTTGCGTGCGCCAGACAACTCGGTTAAGCATCGGGCAAATATGCCAAGTGCCGCCAGCCAACATTTTCTGTACACTAATTTGAACAGCAAGCCTGCATTTTTAAGTAACAATTTCGTCATATTTTTTAATGATTTTCTACATATTTAATGCGCATCTATACTGTCTGTCCTATGTAATCAGTGTAACCCGTTTTTACGAGCATAAAATGCTAATCTTCCAGCCAATTAATGAAAGTTTAATTTGGTATTCGCAAAAGCTAAAAAAAAAAACAGTTGACAAACTTGCGTTGCTTAAAAAAATAATTTTATATTTCATGGCTTTAGAAATTGTGGGCGCCAGTAAACAATTTTAACTAAGGGTTCGTAGATGCTTCACTCAGCCTATTACATACCTTTGCACGAATTCATTGTACCCTTTTCCTTATTTTTAATGGCATAATTACAATCTCAAAAAATGCGAGTAAGGATGGGTTAAAAATCTTGCTCTGTATTTTAAAAAAGCCAGGCTCTACAATAATACTACATTTAAAGTTGGAAACGTATTTCGGGCTTTTATGGGTGGTTAAACATTTTTCAAAGCCAGATCTTTCTCAAAAATTATCAAATTTTTAATATGAAGAACTTGTTAATCATGATCTGAGTTTTAGATTAGCTCTAGTTCCTATATTTAATTATACCATACTTAGTAAACATTTTCACAGTTCGAATTTTGTCGTCATTTTGCAAACTTATTTATATATTTGTTATAGAAATGCAGCATATATGATGGCTTCTTCGGTAGATTCATACCTTGTTAAAAATTCAGCTGGCAAATTATACGGCCATGCAAACAGAGCTCACAAATTGACTGCCTGAAGCAGGCGGGCATGCTCGCAATTATCATCAACAAGGCCGGCAAGCGAAATATTAAAGTGACTAATTAGAAGGGTGCTTAGTGTTGGCCTCAAGCCAGTTGAATATATTTTTGGCAGTCAGCGGGGACCTCAACTCTGTATAAGCGCATAACAAATTTTTGAGTGGCCCGGTGCTTTATATTCTCTGCTTATTTATACGAGGTCTCCTTGGTGCCTTTTGATAGCTCTAGCTCTTATTAATATTTGCAAGCAGCATGTGATCCGCTGGGATATAGTCCTTTTAGTACTTAAGTACTTGATACTTCACATTCTGAGCTCTGTTAATTAATCTGACGAAGTGGTAGGTAAGACAACTAAGACCATCTTTTCTTTTTTTAACTCACATTCGCCTTGCCTTACTATACCCTTTTAACGCACTTGTCAAAACTCAATTACTACAAAAAAAAAAAGAAACCCCAAAAATGTAGATAATCAGCATTAAATGAAAATGTTCCTTAAATTAAAGTATAAGAACATACATTATAAAATTTATAAAGGCATGCTTTGAACTGGCATTCTCAATATCTTAAAACAATTTTTAAAATCAAGAAACTTTCTTTTTATTTAAGGTCGATTTTGTAAAAAGCGTTTTTTTTTAGTGTACATAGTATTTGTTCCAGTGGATTTGGATTAGTGATAACAATTCAGAAACAACAGCTATACACTTCTTAGCTTGTCTACAAGTCCATCTTTGTTTGAAGTTTTCTTTTCTTTCTTTTTTGTTACATAACTTTTGTATTTGGCTTGTCATCTTGATTTCTTTCCGGGATGCGACTGGCCATTGTTAAAGGCTTCAGTTGCCGAACTCATCTGGTTTTGATTTTTGTCTGTTTATCATTTGACTTGTTTACCGGGCGCCCTTTTGTTTACTACCACTGGTGGTGGTGTTGACGTACATCTTAGGCATCATCCCGGGCAGTGGTTGTAATGCTGTTGACTGCCACTTGAAATTTGTTACGCATTTTCAGCTGACGTCACTGGTTCGATTTTGTTTTTTGTTTTTGTTTTTTTGTTGGGCTGCTCTTCCGGTGTCATGGTAAATAAACAAAACAACAGTTCGCTTTGGCAGCAGCAGCAGTAGCAGCAGTAGCAAAGGTAATCGCATCAGCTTTTCCAGCATTCAGCATTTTTCAGCTCCTCATCATGGTCAGCATTGTTCCGCTGCGCATAACCCCATGCCCCATGCCCATCCCACGTGCCACATGCCCCATGGCCCCAGGGTCAGTTCCCAGTGGTTTCCCTGTGTTGGTGTCGCTGCTATCGATGCTGCTTTTGACGTGCGACAATATTGAGATATCGTCTCAAGTGTAAATTGTTATTGACACTTTGCCCACCCAGAAACAGCAACAACAGCAGCAACAGCAGTACCATCAACGTCAATGCCACACAATATTCCCCCCCTTTCCCCATCACAACATTCGTGCCCCTCTCATTCCCTCTCTCTTCTAAAACAGGCAGCATTTTTCTGTGCTGGCGCTGTTGCTTGTTTGTTTGAACATTTGTTTAGTTTTGTGCATTTGATCGGCAACTGCCTGCCTCTACTTTTACTCCCAACAACTTTTACCATAAATTAAACAATCCTCAAAAGCTACATTTGGTGTATACAATAATAATAATAATGTCGACAATCGTCTTAGATAAGTTAGAATGAAATAACGTGATTCATACGGCCACAAACACAAACTCAAAAATGATAAATGATAAGCAAAATTGGCGTGACTACAACTTGGTGCTGAAATTATCATTGACTACACTCAAAAAGAAAATTCACTTTGGCGCCATATAACTCTAACATTCGGTTTTTTGATACTCTTGACTTTGCACTGAGCGACTGTCTAAGGCAGAACTCTAAAAAAATAAGAATTTGCTTTCTGCCAATATTTGTGAAATGAAACGCATATTTTTGGGATTGTCGATTAGGACATGCATTTTCAGTTTTTCGAATTTGTTTTTGTTTGTTTAGAAATAATTTCCAAAAACAAGGAAAAGTTTCTAGGTTTCAAGTGATTTTTTAAAATGAAGGGTAATTTTTTTGCAAAGTGTATCCATTCACATAGGTGCCATTTTTTCGAAAATACAAATATACATTTGTGTATGAATCGTGAAGGTCGTTTAGTCAGTCAAAGAGCGCGGAGCGAAGCAGCGCGGTCACCTCACTTCACCTCACCACACCTCCGTTCAGCTCCGCTCAGCTCAACGAGCCAGTGAAGTGTGCTGTTTAACTTCGGTTTGGGGCCTTTCTGGCCAGTGGCATTGGCGTTCATTTGGTTCGTTGTGCTTTATTCATTAGCTGGTTTCCGTTTCCGCTTCATTCAATTCTCTTGATGCCTTCACTGCGACTGACTTAATGCCATTGACGTGGCCGTTGCTCTGAATGTGAGTGTTGCTTGCTACAAATGCTGCCCCATCTTCCTATCCTTCCCCTTCTTCTTGTTTATTTATTTCTATGAAGCCCAATACAGTTTTGTGCTTCTGTTTCTTCTTTTTTGAGGGCAGCCTGGTCCTAGTCTACTTCGCAATTCATTTTCAATTTATCTTGCCTAATATCGACATGCTTTTAGGTCTCGCCTTCTCTCCTAACTGGCTTAACTGGCTGACGGAATGAAACGGGACTGAAACTGAACCAAGGATTGCCATCGGATGTTACTCCCACTGGCTCTGTTTTACACTCTGTTAGCCTGTGTAGCTCTATGTCGGCCATTGACTTACGCAGACAGACATACAGACAGACACAGTCGCACTCAGTCGCCTCGTCAAGAATATGTGTGGTAGATTTTTTTCCTTTTCTCTTGGTTTTACTTTGTACGGCAAAGCTTATGTATTCCTTTTGGGATTATCGTCTTCTCGCGCATTACTTAAACGTTAATAATTAATTAGAATAGCTCTAAACTTAAACAGAACTCACACACTCATAATGCGTGTGTGTTATGCTAATGTTTTTAATTGCATTTGTTTTGGCTTTTGCTGGGCTGCCAAATGTATATTCATTGGTTTCTAATGCGTATAAGTAAAATAGTCCAGCTATTTTAATAAAGTTACCCAGCAACAAAAACAAAAAAAAACAACACTTTTGAGACTGCAAACACTGGAATAAAAATGGAAAAAAATAGCAAATCGTACCGCCATTTAAATTAGAGCTTAGCTGATGTCTGCCGAGTAGAATCGATTAGCTCTGTGGGAAGTCGACTCGATATCAAGTCGTTGGTATTTTCAAATTAAATTACATCAACTTATAAAATATCAAAGTGGCATCTTAAAGCACTAATGTGTAAATATAAAAAACAGCCTGAGAAGCAAACGTAATTCCTCTCAATATTAATAAAATTAAAAAAGAAATACCTT